AATGACTATACTTACTATTTCATAAAACAGTCATTTGTGAGATAATACATATAGTTGAATCTGCAGATGTGAAACCCGTGGGTAAGGAGCGCCAACTCTCATCATTGAACTATGCTATTTTATACATAAAAGGGACCTGAGTATCTGCGGATTTGGTTATCTGTGGGGACCCCTGGAACAAATCCCCCATGGATATTGAGGGACAACTGTAATAAATATTGAATGGATAATGTGTTATTTAATGAGGATTTTTAGGAGAAAAGGATCTGTGGACACACATGGAACCACTGTATACAACATGTACAGTTGTATACAATGTTGTGTATGTTGTATAAAATGAACCATTATATACAACTGTACATTGTATACAGCTGTACATTGTGTACAACTGTACATGTTTATCCCCACAATGAGTACGTGGCCAGGTGAGTGAGGACTGAGCCAGCCTGGGCTTTGCCAGGTGTTACTACTACTCTAGGACTTCCCAGTGGCCTAACTGTGACCTGGGAGTCTTTAAAATAGTGGATGTAACACAAGATATATCTTAAATTCTGTATAACTGACACTTTTTCTCTTTATAATCTCAGAAGAAACACAGACTTAGCTCGTTTTATAGGGGGTGGATGTTACAGACAGGGGACCAGGGAACAGATGATGGAGGGGCAAGTTGTTTCCAGCCACTCTACTTCTAACTAATGAGGCTCTTTCTGCCAGTTCTCAGGAGAAATTCCACTTTATTGGGTTTACACATCAATGACTTTTTAAACATTTCCTTTGGATATCTTACAAAATGATGTACAATAGTGTTCACAGCTGAAGGTGGAGAAGGTTTTCCTCCCTTCATTCAACCACCCCATTCCTGACAGCGCTGGACTGATTCTCCCTCCTTCATTGGCCACTCTGGGGAGGGAATGTCTGTGTGTCCTTTAGGACTTTCCTTTCTGATACAATGGCACCTGATGGAGTGATGCTTCTCTATCTTGAAACATTTCATAAAATGTAGTTTATGAGATGATACCCACTCTCTTTTTCCTTTTTTTCCTTTTGAATATGGAATCAACCTCCACCCAAAGAAAAATAAATGTCCTAGATCATAATCCTTTTGATAAGCAATCATGGTGAAACAACATACAAAGTCCCTATAAATTACTGTGAAGAAGTGGGAAAAAAATCTTTCCCTACATAGATTATAATACATTCCCTATAAGTCAAAAGAGTTTAACCAATAAAAAGGACATATAATAGCAAGCATTATAGTACATAAGATATAATTAAACAAGGTATTGAGAGCATGAACTAATTGATCATTGAGAAATTATTCCTTTATTCAATCTTAATTTCCAATATCTATATGGAATGAACTAAAAATGTATTTTCTGTTCATCCTATTATTTATTCCTGGCCCTCATCCTATTCTCCTCTGTATCTGGTAAAGGGTGGAAGCTGACCTTGACAGCCTAATTTCATCACCTCCGGTATCAGTTGTCTTTCTGCAGGATCAGCCAATGAGGGGCACTGATGAGAGTTCGGAAAGCTTGAGCAAGGGAGAAGCCTCAGTCTTTCTTTCCCTTCCTCTCTGCTTCAGGTGGCAAATTTGGCCACAACATGTCTTTTCATAACTCCAGCTTCCACCAGACAGTCCAGTCATGCTCCCAGCTACCACCAGGAAAATGGCAGTCCCCAGATCCCAGTAACCCACTTCTTCACTCTGTCCTGTCAGTCTAGGGCTTATGGCAGCTTCCTACTTTTGCTCATCCCTGGACTGACTCAGCATCCTTTATTGCTTTCTCTGCCCCTCCATCACCTATGTAACCAAGTCTTTTCACTATACTCCTCCTGTTGCAAATACTTAGAGACGTTCCCATTTTTTCTGGTTGAATATCAACTAACAAACAATTCCATTTTATGGGTTTAAAGAGAATTTTTGAACATGCATTTTAAAAACCTGGAGAAGGCTTTTTATTGTTTAGGATACAATGAGATGGGACTCAAACATGGTGAAGCAAGAAAGGGCCTGAGCCCTGTCTTCAAGATCTTTCCTACTTCTTTCTTATGTATGTTTCCTAATGACACCTGAAGAAAGAAGCATTGTTCAATGTGCTACATTGGGACTATTTCCCCAGGTTTCCAGGAAAAACTAGACAACAGTAATCAGTTTCAATTAGAACCCATGAAGAGCACATAAATGGCAAATACTTTGGATTGAACAGGAAGAAAACCAGGTCTGTGTGCTCACAGTATCACTCAATCTGAGACATATTGTCTTGGCTAAATTACGTGATCACAAGGACAGTGCTTCCCTCCTGTGCTCTAAACACAAAATAATAAGACTTCAGATATGCAAGCGAAGACTGGAATGCTAAAGACACATGGACCAAATGTGTCATCCTTCCCATTGCTCAGTTCAGGCCGAGGTGAGTAGAGCACACCTGCAGGCCAAGAGAAGCCACAGTGTAGGGGGACACTGTCTAGTCATCTGTCAAATCCATTCTACAAATAGCCACTCAGTCCCCAGTGTGGGCGAAGGAAGACGCCAATCACTATTTTTTGAAGGTCAACTCAGGACCTTTAGATAAGAAATAGAACCAAACATGCTCTTTAAAGTTGTAAAAATGAGAAAAATCTGATTATTATATCTTATTAGAAGATAATGAATACATATGCTCTATAGTAGGTCCTGTACTACACAGTAGTCCTTGTTGTTTATCTATTTTATATATGGTAGTGTGTATCAGTTAAGCCCAAACTCCCAATTTATCCCTCCTCTCCTTTGCCCTTTGATAACCATAAGTTTGTTTTCTATGCCTGTGAGTCTGTTTCTGTTTTTTAAATAAGTTTATTTGTATCATTTTTCAGACTCCACATATGAGTGATAACATATGATATTTGTCTTTCTCTGTCTGATTTACTTCACTTAGTATGATAATCTCTAGGTCTATCCATGTTGCTGAAAATGGCATTATTTCTTTTATTCGGGCTGAGTAATATTCCAGTGTGCATGTGTGTGTGTGTGTGTGTGTGTGTGTGTGTGTGTGTATACACACACTGGATCTTCTTTATCCATTCATCTGTCAGTGGACATTTAGGTTGCTTCCATGTCTTGGCTATTGTGAATACTGCCGCTATGAACATTGGGATGCATTTATCTTTTCAAATTAAGAGTTTTCTCCAGATCTATGCCTAGGATATGATTGCTGGATCATATGATAGCTCTGTTTTTAGTTTTTAAGTAACCTCCATACTGTTTTCCATAGTGGCTGCAAAAGTAGGAAATTTTAAAACAGCAGAATCTGGGCCTACAGTCTAGACCCACAAGCCACAGTGTGAAAATTCATTCCAACAATTTTCGTCCATTTACATACTGAATCAACTTAATCCCATTAAGTATTTTTAAAAGCAATGTTAGCCATCTGGCATTTTTATGCATTAGCACTTATTACTTCTTCAGTCTTCAGCATCTGAAGAATGTTTTAAAAGTGTAGGGCTTCCCTGGCGGCGCAGTGGTTGAGAGTCTGCCTGCCGATGCAGGGGACGCGGGTTCGTGCCCCAGTCCGGGAAGATCCCACATGCCACGGAGCAGCTGGGCCCATAATCCATGGCTGCTGGGCCTGCGTGTCTGGAGCCTGTGCTCCGCAACAGGGGAGGCCACGGTGGTAAGAGGCCAGCATATCGCAAAAAAAAAAAAAGAAAAGAAAAAAGTGCCTTAATACCTGTAGCAAAGACACTGCTGGTGCCCTCCCCACATCGCCTCACCTGTGCCATTTCAGTGGCCATCAACCTCACATCCAGCTACTGGAACCTGCTTTTCTTTGTCTATGGATTTTTTCTTGACACTGGAACCTGTTTCTTACACCCTTGTGCCAGGTAAGAACAGCCAGGAAATTCATGGCCCCAGGAGCAGCCCTCAACCAATAAGCTTCCTTCTTTGGTGGCATTTATCTGAGGGATGATATGGAGAGTCCCTAGTACATAAGAACTAGTTGCCTGATGCTTTGCTTGGTAATGTGCCTTTCATTGTCTGCCTTTGCTGCCCTGAATCACTGCCCTACTCCCTTCTCAGTGTTCCCTTCACCGCCAAAACCAACTAGTATTTACACTCAAAACCTTGTCTCAGGGAATCCAAACAGACAAACCCAAATTATGTCTCAATCCTCTGGGGACACATCAGCCAACCACAGCAAGGTGAATTAGACTCATGTATAGTTTCTAGGAGAGAAGTAAGTGAATATATACTTCTTCTGATAAAGCTGCAGTGATTACTGGAGAAAACAATCATTAAGGAAACACTTTACCTTTCTGTGCTCTATTTTCTCACAATTTCAGCACATCTGGCTTATCTAACCAGGGTACCTTTGGGCACAACCCCATTAAAAAAAGCCCTACCCTGGAAATCCAGATAATAGAGGGCCCAGAAACAAAGGCTATGGATATTTCACCATTGTCATTATAATCCACCATGCTCACTAACAGATTAGCTTTGCTTCTTCATTTATTAGTTTGCCATTTAAGATGCCAGTGAATTATTAAAAGATTGTATCCTTTCCCAACCAGGATGATGATAGTATTTTTGTTTCTCTGACTATAGAGAACTAAAATTAAAATTAGTTGCAAATTAGTGCCAATTTAGCTTACTTTTCAGCATCTCAAGCAGTGAACTGTGAAATGGTTGTGATAAAAGTGTGTTTATTCTTTCTGAGTCATGGCATCATGTTGCTGTTTGGAGGAGGTAAATGTGTGATCTTTCCAGATACAGTTTTGCAGCTCATTTTAATAGACTTTACACAAAGGGCACTGGCTTCCAAAAACAGGAGTATGTGTGTATATCAGGACGGTACTTGCATCCAGCATCAGCCCCTAAGTCCTTTCATTACCTATCATCTTCCCCACCTCACAAGCCATTACACAGTAAGGTAAAGAGTAGCTCTTTCCTGTGAGAGTGAGTCACCTTTTGAGTTCAGATTGCGAGTTCAGCTTAGACAAATGAAAAGAACCAAAATGTGAGCTTACTGAGGGAAACAATCTATTTCCATCTCTTTCTGGCAAAACATAAGCAAGGTCTGAATTAAGAAGGCATTATTGGGTTGAAAAAAATCGTAACAATGGTAAATTGGTGTTTTCGGTGCTTTTTTTCAGTTCTCATTGGTCAAAGAGAGAGAAACCAGATCACATCTACAAACAAATGCTGTGAATGTTTAGAACAAGTGCCATCACACTGTTAAATGATAAAAGTCAAAAAGAACATTGTCAGGAGAGGGAAATAAAGACTGCCAGGGAACTCGAAATGTATTTGAAGCCACTCTCCATGCTCTGTTAGTGTTTTTACATACTCGGTAATATAAAGGAAGCAGGAGCTTAGAGCCCAGGGTGAAACAAGAAAACAAGCACGTTATACTAACAAGGCCAAGAGGCAGAGATTCCACTGTCACAGAGAACGTCACGCTGCTTAATTTCAACTTAAAGGGTGACTTGAATGCCTGGCCTTATGGAAATTTAGTGCTTTGTTATGGTTCATCTGAACTTGTCAGTTGGCCCCAAGCTGCGATAATCAACTTTTCAATGTCAGACTCATTTACTCCTCGAAGAATCCTGAAATAGCCATTCTCTCCCCAGGACTTTCCCCAGGAATTGGCAGCAATCTGCAGAAAAAAAAAAAACAAAACTGAATAATACTTGTATATTTTTTAATCCAACCTGTAAAGTTACAGGGAACTCTTATGTAGCTTTATATGCTTTTGACTTATTATAGATTGTGATTATTAAGAACCTACACATTTTGAAAAGAAGAACAAAACAATTATATTATTCATTAATTACATTAATATGCATATATACTCATGTTCATGATAACCAGAATTGATGAATTCCCCCAGAGTACAATAATAACATATGAGACTTTGAAATGCCACATCAGAAAATGACACACGCTGCAGTTACAGAGTGTCTATTATGTGACTGGCCCTGTGCTAAGCACGGGAGGAACCATGATAAAAAATATCCTGTGTTCAGGGAGCTTATGGTCTAATGAAGAATGGTCAACATAAGGCAAGTACTAAGGTAGATATATGCACATGGAGAGGCATCTCACTTATCTGAATGGTTCAGGGAAGTTGTCATGAAGTACCACATGTGGTACATGTGATACATGTACCACATGTGATACATATTAAAGCCTAGGAGTAAATTAACCAGATTAAAAAAATTGAGGAAGGGAGATTCAGGTAAACAGTAAAAACATAAATATCAAAGCATAAAGCAGCATGAAGCAGAGAAATGAAGCAACAAAATTGTTATCATTAGATCATAAAACAGAAGCAGGTTGGTAGTTTATGATGCTAGAAGGGGAGGAGAGGAAATCCATACTGAGAAAATAATGGTGAAAATGATGACAAGTTGTTGAGTTACTTCCAGCAGGAGTGCAGGTGGACAAATTTTTATTTTGATTACATTATTCTGTATGAACTGAGATGGATGAATTTAAAAGGGTAGGGAAAAAAACCCACAGGGATGTAAACAGCTCTTTGCAGGAAACCGTCCTCAGCAGGAAACCCCTTTTCTTGTCACTTTAGCAAAGCTATATTTTAACTAAACTTAAACAGTCCACTCCATGCTCTGCTCGTCTCTGACCCAAGCACAGTTTTCAAATCTTTTGGTCACACACTACCTTGCCTAATCTGTTGGTTCTTCCCATAGATCAAAGAAGTAGAAATGAAGAATAAATAACAGATGACCAGATCTCTTCCCTAGCTTCCCCTTCAGTGATCTCCAGAACAAACTGTGTGAACAAGACAGAAACTAAAGAAAGATCACAAAAGTGGACAAGCCTGCAGGCAGTAGGGGATGGCAAGGACTCTGACCCCCTATCCCAATGATTAACTGAGATTACTTCCCCTTTTCCCTTTAAAACTTTCATGGCCAAGAAGAATCTTTGGAGTTGGTTTTTGGGGGACACAAGTCTGCCTTCTCCCCAGGTTTCTGACTTTCTGATTAAAAGCAATTTTCCCTTCCACCTTTATTTCTGGACTCTCAGTTCTGTTGCATTAATCTATTTGTCTGTTTTTATGCCAGTATCATACTGTTTTGATCACTATACATTTATAGTATAACTTGAAATCAGGAAATGTGATACTCCTTGCTTTGTTTTTCTTTCAAAGGACTGCTTTGGCTACTTGGGGTCTTTTTTGTTTCCATATAAATTTTAGGATTCTTTTTTTCAATTTCTGTAAAAAATGCCATAGGAATCTTGATAGGGATTGCATTGAAGATATAGATGTTTTCAGTAGTATTGAAATTTTAACAATATTAATTCTCCCCCTTCATGAACACAGGATACCTTTTCATTTATTTGTGACATTTTTGATATCTTTCAATGTCTTATAGTTTTCAGAGTAGAGATCTTTCACCTCCTTGGTTAAGTTTATTCCAAAGTTTTTTCTTTTTTTTTTTTTGATGCTATTGTACATGGGATTGTTTGTTTTCTTTATTTCTTTTTCAGATAATCTGTTACTAGTGTCTAAAAAGGCTACTGATTTTTGTATTTTAGTTTTGTTATCCTGTAATTTTACTGAATTAATTGATTTGATCTAACAACTTTTGGGTGAAGTCTTTAGGATTTTCCAAACAGGTATACCTTGGAGATTTTGCAGGTTCAGTTCCAGAACACTGTAATAAAATGAATAGCGCAATAAAGTGAGTCACATAAATTTTTTGGTTTCCCAGTGCATATAAAAGTTATGTTTACACTATACTGTAGTCTTTTAAGTGTACAATAGCATTACATCTAAAAAAAATGTGCATACTTTAATTAAGAATACTTTATAGTTAAAAAATGCCTACCATCATCTGATTATTTAGCAAGTTGAAATATTTTTGCTGGTAGAAGGTTTAAAATATTGCAAGAATTACCAAAATGTGACGCAGAGACACAAAGTGAGCAAATGCTTTTGGAAAAATGGTGCCAATAGACTACTCAATATGGCCTATTGCCACAGATCTTCAATTTCTACAACAAAACAAAACAAAAAAAACAATATTTGTAAAGTGCAATAAAGTGAAGTGCAATGAAACATGGTATGCCTATATAAACTGCAAATAGAGACAGTTTTACTTCTTCCTTTCCAATTCTGATGGTTTTTATTTCTTTTTCTTGCCAGAGGGCTCTGGAAAGGACATCCAGTACTATGTTGAATAGGAGTGGTGAGAATGGGCACCATTTTCTTATTTCTCATCTTAGAGGAAAAGCTTTCAACTTTTCACCATTAAGTATAATGTTATCTATGAGGTACATTCCTTCTATACTTGTTAAGAGTTTTTTATCATTAACAAATGTAGAATCTTGTCAGATGTTTTTTCTGAATCTATTAAAATTACTATATAATTTTTTCTTTCATTCTATTAATGTGATGTTTCACATTAATTGGTTCATGTGTGTTGAACCATCCTTGCATACCAGGTATAAATCACATGTGATCATGGTGAATGATTCTTTTAATGTGCTGCTAAATCAAATTTGCTGGCAATAAAATGCTGTCTTTTTTTTTTTTTTTTTTTTTTTGGTATGCGGGCCTCTCACTGTTGGGGCCTCTCCCGTTGCGGAGCACAGGCTCCAGACGGGCAGGCTCAGTGGCCATGGCTCACGGGCCCAGCCGCTCCATGGCATGTGGGATCTTCCCAGACTGGGGCACGAACCCACATCCACTGCATTGGCAGGCAGATTCTCAACCACTGTGCCACCAGGGAAACCCTAAAATGCTGTCTTAATTACTGTAGATTTATATAGTCTTGAAACCTGGTAGTGTACATCCTCCAACTTTGTTCTTCTTTACTGTGACTATCTTGGGTACTCTAGGTCTTGTGCATTTCCATTTAAAGTTTAGAATCATCTTTTCAGTATAATCCTCTCTCCCCCTCCAAAAAAAAAAAAAAATGTCTGCTGGGACATAGATTAGGATGTTACAAAATTAATAGATCAATTTGGGAAAGTTAATCTAGAGACTTCAAGTCATCAATATGGTATAATTCTCCTTTTAGCTAGGTCTTCTTTAATTTCTCGTAACACTAAAAATCTTGCACATTTTTCATTGACATATTCCCTAGGTTTTTATTTATTTATTTTTGGCTGCATTGGGTCTTCGTTGCTGCGCACGGGCTTTTCTCTAGTTGCATCATGTGGGGGCTACTCTTCGTTGTGGTCCACGGGCTTCTTATTGTGGTGGCTTCTCTTGTTGTGGAGCATGGGCTCTAGGCACACAGGCTTCAGTAGTTGTGGCATGAGGGCTCAGTAGTTGTGGCTCGTGGGCTCTAGAGTGCAGGCTCAGTAGTTGTGGTGCATGGGCTTAGTTGCTCCACGGCATGTGGAATCTTCCCAGACCAGGGCTCGAACCCATGTCCGCTGCATTGGCAGGTGGATTCTCAAGCACTGCACCACGAGGGAAGTACTTCCTAGGTTTTTAACTAGTTACATCATTTTTTTTTTTGTATTAGGACTTTAATTGGGCAAAAAGGTTATTTTCTTCACAATGGTTACATTAATAAAAGGCTTTAAGCTGAAATTAGTCATTAAGCCTAAGTCACTTGTATTTTCAAAAAACCAAGAAACAAATATAGACCAAAAATAATTACTTTCTCTTCAAAATATTTATAAAACTGGAAAGACTATCATACACAGAAAATTCTAATACTTCAAAGTAAAGCTATGTTTTCCCTGGAAACTTGCTAAATTTTTCCTCAAAGATGTAAGCAGGAGTGCAGTATAGTAGAAACTGGACAGAGGACAGTCGCAGCTTATGCCCCTAACTAGATATTTCCTATACTTTGTCTAAGCCATCCAATTTTTGGTACTGTGCTACAGCAGCCCTAGCAAACTGATACATTTCTGTATTCCCTAAGGTTCATTTTTGATGTTGCCTACTAAATATCCCAGTAATATTCTTTAAAAAGAATAACTCAGTATAACTCTTTAAAAAGCCAGACCATGACCTAGAGACTCTGTTCAGCTTATCTCCTCCCAGCTTATCTCCTCCTCTCTATTAAATTAAACCTTCATTTAATAGAGACAGCACTTCACTTTCCTTTCATAAATAGTTCTGTAATTTGTTCTCAGTTTTTCAAAAATAAAAAATATATTGTTGGGGGACTTCCCTGGCAGTCCAGTGGTTAAGACTCTGCACTTCCACTGCAGGGGGCAGGGGTTCGATCCCTGTTGGGCAACTACGATCCCATGTGCTGCACAGTGTAACCAAAAAAAAAAATCTGGGAACTAAAAGAGCTAATCAAAGTCCCAGAAGGCAAGAGGGAGAGGTAATATGAAAGAGAGTTTGAGAGACATAGAGGATAATACGAGAAGGACAATCACCTATTTAATAGAAAGGTCCAAAAGTAAAGGAAGGAAAGATGGTATATTCAGCTATAATAACTGAGACCTTTATAGTAGTCATCAATACTGTGAATCCTCAGAATTGGAACACAAAAAGCCCCAATTCTTACACAAAATTTAACACTACAGATGTTACAGCAATATAATCAGAATTATTTTGGTAATGTCAGGTCTACTTTCAGATCAGAAATTTCCTGAAGAGTAATATCTCTCTCTCCTGGAATTTTAATTTCTGTAAGTAAAGACAGCAAGGTGTTTCTCTCA